AATTATACTCGTCCTGATATAGCTTATGCTATCAGTAAATTGAGTAGGTACACTAGTAACCCCGGAGAAGACCATTGGAAAGCGATCATTCGGGTTCTTAGATATCTAAGATTCACCCGTGATCATGGTTTGAACTTTACTCGATACCCAGTAGTACTTGAAGGTTATTGTGATGCAAATTGGATATCGGATACTAAAGATTCAAAATCCATAAGTGGATATGTCTTTACTCTGGGAGGCGCTGCTGTTTCTTGGAAATCCACGAAACAAACATGCATCGCACGATCCACAATGGAATCCGAGTTCATTGCTTTAGACAAAACAAGAGAAGAAGCAGAATGGCTTCGTCACTTCTTAGAAGACATTCCAATGTGGCCAAAACCTGTGCCAGCTATTTGCATTCATTGTGATAGTCAATCTGCAATAGGCAGGGCACAGAATCATATGTATAACGGTAAGTCACGACATATTCGTCGTCGACATAATACCGTTAGGCAGTTATTGTCAAAAGGAATAATCTCAATAGACTATATAAAATCTAAAGAGAATATTGCAGATCCGTTAACAAAAGATTTGACAAAAGAGCTAGTGTATAGTTCATCGAAGGGGATGGGATTAAAGCCTATTACATAAGAGTCGTCATAATAGTAACCCTACTTATATAACTGGAGATCCCAAGAACTAAGTTCAAATGGACAACTAAGTTATGTATGGCTCGCCAGAAATCACCAAAGGATTTAGTTCCTACCCATTCCTATGGTGAGAGTGATATCTGCAACATATGTTGTATGCAGGGGTATAAGGATAAGCTTTGCTTTTAATGATTACTTATATCTTGATTAAGGCATAAAATCAAGACGAGTATAAGGAGATACTCACAATAAGAATCATCTATATGAGTGTTGAACTGTGGCCGGTTCTATGAGAATGAAGAGACTAAATTCTCTAGAAACACTAATGAAAACCAGGCGCGTTCAATGCCAAAATGAACACAACAGTGAGAACCACGATGTGTTAGAAGATATGTTGTGTGAAATCTATTGTCTTGGCTTATACAAACGGCTGAAAAATTCAAGACATCGCCTCCATTGGTTAGCCAGTAAGTCCGATAGGTTATCACTAGGGAAAGTTCAAGGCCGAAAGCTACCTATCCTGATGCAAGATATTTTCGACTTATACTCTTTCGATAAAGTTTGCATATTATGCCTGTTTGGCAGAAATTATAATCAGCTTATTTCAGCTTTTAGCTTAATTTAAGCTATTTTGATGTGTTTGGTTTAGCTTATAACTTATAACTTTTTGGAAGTCAGAAATCAGCTTATTCTTTGAGTGGGGCAGGAGATGCTTTAAGAATAAGTCAGAAATCAGCTTATGTTCATAGTTATAAGCCATAAGCTGTTTAGGCATAAGCTATAAGCACTTTCCCACAGCTCTACCAAACAAGGCTATTGTTGCATTTCCGTTGTCATCAAATTCCATTTATGTGAGGGATTGTTGGAAATGGTTATAAAATTCTGAGTAAAACCAGAATTTTTTCCTAAGTTTGGTCTATTTTTTAGATGGGTCCCGTGCGTCGATTTACACGGGTCAAAGTGGTAACGCATTCTATGTCGCGTTGTGATTCACGTGGTATATTTGGTTGCTCAAAACCATTACCGAGTGAATGGGAAATTGAAACCAAAGTGTGCTCTATGGAAATGAAGTTTTGGTGGAGATTCCTTAAGGTTGTAAATTGGCTTGTCCCGCATTGATTTTGTGGGAGGTTTTGAATGGGTTTATAAGGCTTGGGTTTGGTACTTGGGGTGTGCCCCAAGGGGTATCCAAGTGTTTTAGAGGGAGAGGTTATGGGCAAAATGGGCTAGACCCATTGGACCCAAAAATCACCACACACGCACGCGCGCACCGCCGCCGCCGTCCGTCCGTTCGGTCGGGCGGGCTAGGCTGGGCCTGGGCTTGGGCGCGAGTGCGTGGTATGAGGTTGGGTTGGGCTTGTTCAGCTCAATACTAATCTTTTTGGGCCAAAAATATTTGAATTTAATTTTATTTTGTTAAAATTAAATCGGAATAAACTGGTTTGGTTTTACTGTACATCCAAACAGGGTCCTTCCCTAAATAAACTAGTTTGGTTTTTAACGTACATCCAAACAGGGCCCTTCCCGTTTTTGTATATGTTATTCAAATCTGTTTGAATTCAAAACCAACAGGTTTCATACATGTTCAATTCAAAACCAATAGTCACCTTTACATCTATAAATAGACTAGCTATCATTTGGATTTAAAAAAAATTCCAATTTTTCGTACTCCATCCTTTGTTATAAATCTCTGCATTTTGCTGCATTTATTTTCTGAAAAAAAGAGTGTAAACACTTAGTGTGTTCGTAAGGCAAACAATTTATAGTGCTACTATTGTTTGTAGTAAATCATTTCATCTTGGGAGATAGACGTCGAAATTCTGAAAGCACCGTGGAGAGGACGAATCTGTCTTAAGGACACAATGTCAAACACTGGACTTGATCAGATTATAATTCGAACAAATTAAATCAAGTAAGTTATTTAATCTATTTTTAGTGTTATTGTTATTTATTTAAATCAGATTTTAATTTTGTTTTTGTAGCAAAATAAAATCTATTTTTATTATTATTTTTTTTATTTCGAGTTTGATTTTTGTAATTAAACAAATTCTCTTTTTTCCTTTATTTTTTTATATTCTAGTTGTTATTTAGTACATAACAGAATTTAATTTATTTAAATACAGTGAAAATTGTCTAACATTAATGACGTGTGGTTTGTTGCTTTAAAGCTTCACATGATTTGGACATTAAAAATTGAAATTGAACTTCTTCACACACTTTTTTAATGTATGAATAGTATACAAAATGTGAATAATCTAAATATTTGAACTTCATATCTAAACAATATAATAATTCCACACAAAATAGTAGGCTTCACGAGTCTCAACCAATCAAAATCTATGTATTGTTAACACACTCTATTATACTCTGTTTGTTTTGGCAGAATTTTTTATTTTTTTATTTTTTTATTTTTTGTGTTTTTGTGTTTTCCAAGCATTTGGTACAATGAAAAACGAAAGTCAACAAAACATATTTTTCATAATCAACGGAAAAACAAGCTTATTTTGGCAGATTTTTTTTTTTTTTAACTTCTAAAAGATTAAAAATATTTTCCAAACTAAAGTCTCACTAATGCCACCCTATTGCCACTACTACTCTCACCTCCACCATCACACCACCATCAAAACAGCTACCAACACCATCACTACTGCCACCACTGCACCACCTCTATCTTTACCTTCATTACCATCACCATCACCATCACCATCACTGAATATAAAAAAAAATATTTTTTTATCCAAACAAACTACGAATAAGTGTATAAATAAAATCAAAGTATAAAAATCTAGGAAAATTTGGCCAAAGCCCCTTCATAATAGAACTTTAATGCATTAAGGTCATACAAAAAAAAAATCTTGAAAAGTCCAACACACACCACTATTAGCAAAATAACCTTAGTGACTAATTTAATATTTTAAATTTTAAAATTATATAACTTTTGATATAAATATCGCTTTTTAAAAAAATTAATATTTTTAGAATTCTCTTATTAAGATCTATCAAATAAGATTCAGGTTGACTATAAAATTCTTTTAAAAAAAATTATTGTCGAAATTGACGTAAACACTAAAATTTTACTATTATTCATAGTAAAATTTTATTCTGATTCACAGTAAAATTTACTGTCAATTAATTAGGAAACATATCTTTACTACGAGTTTACAAACAAATCACACAAGGACACACTATTAGAGTAAAATTTTACTGTAAAAAAGCAAAATATATTTTACAATGAGCAACTACAACAAGCGGAGATAAAAATTTACTTTCATATTTACAAGTCAGCAAACATCATTACGGACCACAAACAACAAAAACAAATCAAAAAAAATAAACAATTAATCAAAATTCAACATATATGATCAAACTCAAATAACAATCAAACAATGATTAAATGGAATTTCAATTATAACATGAACACTGTGTTGGGTGGATGAGAATCACTCAATCACTTGTAGTGATTGAAACTCACAGAGGAATTGCAAAACTTATTCAAATTACTAAATTTGAATAACATACAGAGCAACTCTTGCAAATTTGTTTCCTTCTCTCTGACTCTCACCACTTCACACTTCTACTCTGAACATACATACCTATTTATAGATATAATACAAACAATAAAAACAGAACACTTTGTGGACTTCTTCTCCTGAATCACATGACAGCGGCGGAGGAGGCAAGCGTGCTTCTTAGCTTGTGAATGACAGCTATTTTGGACTTCCTTTCTTAATCTGCTGGAAGTTCTCTGGATCAAAAACTCAAAACAATGATCAAACTCACGTTCACAGTTCAAATCTTTGAGCTGTATATGCAGGGTAAGATTGTCCAAGAAAAAAGAAAAAAAATATTAGTATGTCCTTGATGAAGAACACACCACTTCCCCAGGGATTTAAAAAATAAAATATTTTAAATTGTCCTTTACACATTAACATGTTAAGCTTAAAAAATTTAGTTTAGCTAAATTTTTTAAAAATCTAAAAAGAAGAGTCGAACCAACCTTTAACTAGTACTTAATGAGAAATTATTTAATAAATCAAGTACATCACATCACATCAGTATACTAATGTAATATGTCCAATCAATAAAATTTTAAAAAAATTGTAATAATTACTAACAAAATTACTTGAATTACCCTATATATTATGATTTTTTTCTCGCATATTATTCCCATTGACGTAAAATTCCTAACTCACGACCCACTATAAACACAATTATCCTTTTGTTCAAAATAAAATAATAATAATAATAATAATAAAAAACGGTTACTCCAATCTCTCCGAACACGGTCCAGATCATGCCACGTGGCTAGTATGCGCCGAATATTACAAACCACCCAATTTGAATGAATGATATTCCTGTGTTTCCCTCAGCAGCACCCCCCTCCCTCCCTCCAATTCCTTCGTCTCTCTCTCTCTCTCTCTCTCTCTCTCTCTCCGCCTTCCCAATACTGTATAAACTTTTTCCCGTCTCTCTCTCTCTTTCCAAATTCCGTTATTTTCTCCCTAAATCTATACGACCTCAAATCTAGAGACCGAGAAAGAAAAAGAGAAAATCTCTCTGTTTCCGTACCTCCCAAAATTTTAATGGATACATGGTCCTTGGATTCAACTCAATTTCGCTGCCTTCTTTCAATTCAATCTCACCCCTTCGATTTCTTCTTCTGCAAATCTTTTCACCCTCTGATTCCTACTCATCCACCTACTTTCATTTGATCTACGCAACCTCACCAATGGGAAAGCGTAAGTTCTGTATTTTTTATTTATTTATGTATTGATTATTCTAGCTAGGGTTTCTCTATTTGATTAATTCAGATTTTCTCTTCGATGTCATGTTCAATCAAATCGTTGTTATTCTATTCAGTTAATGTTATAATTTATGTTTAACAACAAATAGACTCTGCAAAACCCTAATACAGCATTCGCAATCCTGCTTAACACTCTGTTTGGATGGGTTGATTTAGTGACAAATAAGCCTTTTTTCTTTTTTATGGGGGATGGAATTGAGGGTGTCTGGGTATTGGTTTTGCTGTATTTTGCAGGTAGTTCTCAACGTAAGAATGCTGCGATGTTGGATACCGAAGATATTGATGGTGCGAGTTCGTGGTCGAGTGACCAATCAAATAACATGGAGATGTTCGGCACTGAAGAGGTGCAGCTGGTTAAAGAGAGTTTACTTGATCAATGCTTAGATGCCTTATACGAGAAAAGGTGCTTACTTTTAGTTAAGTTTATTATGTTTGCATCCGTGAATTGTGCTATAAATGGTAACAGAGCCTTAACTATGTGAAATTTGCCGTCTTTTAACCCTACCAATGCAATCTTTTACCTGAATGTTAATGTTGTCTCTTTTTCTTTTTGTTTTTTTGGATGAAGGGGGTCAACAAGAGAGAAGGCTTTGGTAGCAATTATAGAGGCTTTTAATAGCAACTTGCAGCACGAGTTTGTCGAAAAGAAGTAAGGATTTTTATTGCATTTCTTTTTCAAATTTTATTGTCTTTTTCTTTTTTTAAATGTTTTGTTAAGGATTTTTATTGTGTGTCTTTTTCATTTTTTTTTATTGTCTTTTTCTTTTTTTAAATGTTTTGTTAAGGATTTTTATTGTGTGTCTTTTTCATTTTTTAAATTAGAAAAATATCAAATACAGGAGTTGTGATTCCCTTTGTTTCAGTTGTTTGTGTTCATCATGAATTTCAGGTCACTGTTAGTTTATAAACATCAATCTTTGTTTTGATGCACTACAATGACCTTTTTTCAATTTTTTTATTATCCTATTTCAAGTAGTATGCATTTGCATGTATTGGAGTTTGCACGATTTAATCACCATGATTGATTTCATGCTCCCAGGCTGAATATGTTGTTCTATTTTTTTTTTTGTTTTTTTAATCCCCACTCATTGATTTTCATGTTGTTGGTTGTGAAGTGTGTTGGCACATAAATTTCAACAAATTTATGTTAAAATTTCAAATACGGTCAATCAGTCAATGACACTTATAGAGCCTATGATAGGAATGTTATAGGTAATCACTTCCTAAAAAGAATCCATTGAAGTGCATAAATAAAACAACGTCGTATCTCAAGACGTCATTTAAAATGCTCAAGTGACACGTGGAGCTTACGAAAGATGACACCTGTAGAGCCTACAATAAGGACACCACACAGGATGAAACTCCAAAGATCAATCCGGTTAATAAGATATACGATTAATCAAATAGCGCTATTATTCAAACTTCAAATGGCGCTATCATTCAATTTGAAATTCAAATTGAAGATGAAGCATTCCTATAACCTGATGGCCCTCTATAAATATGAGGACCATCACACAAGACGAGATATCAGAAAATCAAAAGTGAAAAGATCAGAGAGAGAGAGAAAGAAATTGAGAGCTAAAGAAGTCGTTGCAAGAAAGAAGAAGAGAAGCCTAGAGAACTCAAGAGCCTACGCTAATGGCGATGAATAGGTAAAGGGTTCCAAACCCAAGAATTGTATTTTATATTCGAGGGTTCAAAGCCCATAACAATTTCAATAAAATATTTATTTTTCTTAAATTGTCTTTTGTTGTTTATTTTGTTCTTCATTAATCGGAGGTTTCATTTGTATAAAATGTGTAATTAACGATCTGAAATACAGATCAGAAATAAGAACCTACTATTCAAATAATCAACACTGTTTAGTCCAAAAACTAAACAGTGGACATTTGTAACATAAAATTTTGAAATGTGTTGAAACACTCCATGTTTTAAAATTTGTGTCTACAAAGTGAAAATCAGGGAACAAAAGAGAACCCAAAAAAAAGAAAAAAAAGGTATACCTTTGTGTGTTGACTCATCTACTGCCTATAGCTATGAGTGTTATAAAATTGTCTATGTTGCACTGTTCCTATCGTATCCATATATTTATGGATTCGTGTGGTGTTTTGCATTTAGGTTTGTTACCTTACTGCATCAGTGTCTGAATTCAATAAAGCGGGGGTCTGTGAATGAGATATCTTTAGCATCTCGTGTCATTGGTAAGTCTTTAACCCATCATTTACTCTCTTTTGTTTCATTTTGAGTATTTTTAAATAAGTATGCCATGGTAGGATTGTTGGCTCTGACCACTGGTCCTGGGGACAAAGCACAAGAAATATTGGAAGACTCAGTCCCCCCTATTTCACAGGCTCTAAAATCCGGGTCTGTGGCATCCAAGACATCATCAGTATGTTTGTTATTTGTATTTTGACTAGGTGATATGATTTAGTTCTTTATTCTTGCAACTTCTCTGAAACCTTTTGGTTAACTGAAAATATGGATTTTTGTTTTTTGTAGTTACTGGAGTGTTTGGCTATTGTTACCTTTGTCGGTGGAACTGAGCCAGAGGAAACAGAAAAAGCAATGCAAATAATGTGGCAAGTGGTTCATCCAAAACAGGGCTCCAATGTATGTATGCAAATTTCTCTTATTGGAAATCTATGATGCACGGATACAGGTACGAGTACTGGTACTGGTACGATACGGGTACGTCGATACGGTAAAATCTAAAAAAAGTAGGGTACAGATACGGTTTGGTATGCTTGTAAAAAAATATTTATTTTTAATCTAGAGTAGTGCAAAATTGATTAAATAGTTTAATTTGTTGAGATCAACCTACAATTAACATTTTATGCCAAAAGTAAAGGTATAAATCAAAATTAAATGTCAATATATTAAATAACTTACAAATCATAGCTTAATTTTAAAATCATGCTAAGCATAACTAAAAATAAAAAAGAAGTCTAGTGAAAGGAATTTTATCGTTGTAGTAGAAGAAAATATTGTTTTAACTGAGGTATGATATGGCTTGGGTACTAGATACGTCTAGATACACCAAAAATTAAGAAGAAAAAATTTCGGTACATGTTACGTGTTACGTGTACGCGGTACGTATGCAGAAGTACCATACGAATTACCATACGCCGTTACGTACCCGGTACAGGTACGACATGTTTTTCGAAGCACCCATGCTTCATAGTTGGAAATGCATCTAATCATGTCAAGTGGCATGTTTATGTGTGTATCCTGGTCTGCAAATGTACTTTTTGGACACTTGATCATGCCATGTTATTCAAGTTTATATTTATTTCCTTTTTGCCTATTATTGCTGTAGACATTTTGATTTTGTTGGCTTTGTTTGTAAATTGTAGCCAGTATAAATTTATGAAAATGCTCTTCATGTCAACTTAGTACGCGTTGACATGTAATGTTGTAGGTCTTGGTTGTTGATCTATTAGATGGTTGTTGTATTTAATATGTTTTGGAAAACTAATGGTACTTCTTTACTCAGGTAGTTGCCACTAAACCTTCATCATCTGTAATAATGACAATGGTGTCTGCTTGGTCATTTCTGCTTACAACTATGGATGGTTGGACACTTGATCCTAAAAACTGGCAAGAGTGAGTAAATCTGGCTTTTAGCTTCACTGATCTCTGTGTGTGTGTGTGTGTGTGTGTGTGTGTACATAGGACACTACTGTACGCACACAGTACATTTCTGTTTCTGGCCTTCTTAGGGTTTGTTTACTATGCTGGGACAGTTATAGGATCTAGACCTCATAACCTTCCAAAAGGGTTGAATATATAACAGTGAACTGCAAGGTCAATTGCTGCTGTTAAGAAAATTTAATTAGAAATGAATTTACTATTCTGATAATGATGCAGGTCGATTTCTTATTTTTCTACTCTGCTAGAAAAGGATGATAGATCTATACGCATTACAGCTGGTGAAGCACTTGCTTTAATTTTTGAGATAGGAGATTTGGAGAAGCTCTCTGGTGAAGCCAAAGCATTTTGTGACAGCTCCATTCATGAAAGGAATGTTTGTCGGATGTTTGCCAATATACAGGGATTGCGGGGGAAAATCCTAAATCAAGTAAGAAACCTTTCCATGGAGGCAGGTGGTAAAGGATCTAATAAGAAAGATCTTAACAGTCAGCGGAACTTGTTCCAGGACATTCTTCATTTTCTTGAGGTATTACCTAATTAGTTTTCCATATATTTTTTGATTTCTATGTTAGCTGTTATAATGATCTTACTGCACAAAGAAAAACAGTCTGGCTATCCTCCAGAAACCTCAATGAAGATTGGAGGTGTCCCACTTAACACAACGTTGTGGTCTCAATTGATACAGGTTCCTCCCCTACTCTTCAATCTTGCTTTTGATTGTGAGTGCCTATACTAATTGACCAATGCTACATCTACTTAAAATCTTACTAAAAACATACATGTCTAAACATCATTGGATGTCTAAACATCATCGGATGTTTAAATGTCATTGTTGTTTTGACAACCAATCACATTTGGCATCTTATATTTTTAGTAAGATTGTTAGTATGTGTAGAATTATTCTTACTAATTTTGTGTTTTCCAATCTCAATTTTCCCCCTTAGTGTTTCTTATTTCCTTTTAACAGCTAAACTTTTTAAAGCGCCTTATTGGGGGAGGTTTCATAAAACACATGCAGGTTTTTTTTTTCCTCAACCATTCCTTGGTATTGTTCTCTTCTTTTTGGATTTGTCAATGATTCCTGATTTTCCTCTTTCCTATTACCTCTTTTTCCTTGGGTTTAAACAGGAAAATGAATTTCTCTACAATTTATTTGGGTTTACACCGCAGAGAACGCAGCTTTTAGGAAATGAACATCATATGTCTAGTTTTGACAAGGTTAGTTCATACCATTTGCTCTGCAATTTTATTTTGTCTATATACTTTTAGGTATTATGCTTTACCATTGCCAATTTGGCTTCTCTATGTACAAGGCATGAAGAAAAGTCTATTCATGACAACGTAGGGACCTTAACACTGTACATGAAAAGTTTTACTCTGTAGGATCAATAAGCATTGTTTCTGTTGATTGTTTGTGGCTGATTGATTTATATTTTTTCTTTCTTCATATTTGCTTCCTGGTGTTTTTTTTTTTTTTTTTTTTTTTTTATTATATTTTATTAGTTCCCTTTTAATCTGATTTACTCTTTCATACAGAGGTTCTACAAGTCACCTAACTCAGTCGTGAACAAGGCAAGGACTCAAATTAGGAACAAGCAACGAATTTTGTCCCAGGTAATCTATTTTCAACCAAGATTAAATTCTACATGTCTTTCACCTGCGGTTTTATAGTAATTATTTACCTTTTCAATGTACGAACGGAAGTATCTATATCAATTAAATGTGGTTTCTCTATAAAATGTTACAGTTTGTCATATCATGCTATACAAAACTTTTTGACAAATGGTTAACTTTTTCATAAATTTCTGTCAATGATACGAGTTCCCATCAATTTGACCTCATTTTTATGGTGTTTGGAACCCTGTTTTTGTGGGCTGGTTATTTTTTAGCCTATTTGCTAGTTCAAGGTGGCTTGATTATCAACCGAGCTGCCCATTGGCTGGCTTCTGCTCAATTCAAGGGAGTTTTACTTTTAGATTGGGTTCGGAATCCCCCTGCCTATCTTAAGGACTTGTTACTTTTTTATTCTCCTTTGTAGCCTGAGGGCATTTCCTAATTCCAAAAAAAAAAAGTGGCTTGATTGGTTGAAATCTTCTCGTCAACAATTTTTGGAGTAAAAGAAATAGCAACCAAAAATAAAAATAAAAATGCTTCCATTCTCTGCAACACTAACTACTGCTATTGAATGCTGTTGATTGCTCAATTCAAGGGAGTTTTACCTTTAGATTGGGTTCGGAATCCCCCTGCCTATCTTAAGGACTCGTTACTTTTTTATTCTCCTTTGTAGCCTGAGGGCATTTCCTAATTCCAAAAAAAAAAAGTGGCTTGATTGGTTGAAATCTTCTCGTCAACAATTTTTGGAGTAAAAGAAATAGCAACCAAAAATAAAAATAAAAATGCTTCCATTCTCTGCAACACTAACTACTGCTATTGAATGCTGTTGATTCCCATGTATTAAATCCGTGTAATGTGTTGGTTTTCTCGTGCAGGGTAGGAACACTGGACACTATACAGTTGGTTTAGTTGAAGAGTTGGTCTTTTAGATCATGTAACAGGCTAACAGCCACATCCGAAGCTTTTTGAAATTTCACCTTTTAACATTATTGTTATCCCAGACAATCATCAGACAGGAAGCATTTTTCAATTAGTGACAGTGTTGAGCACACAAATTGTTTCAGTTGTAATTTGTCAAAATTATATTCTTTATACATCCGAAGTGTTATTTTGAGCATTAATAAAATAACTTTGAATTTGGTTTGGTTTGGTTTGGTTTGCATCATTTGGTATGGTGGTGTAACATTTTTTTTTGGGGATTGTGTTTCTGGGGCATTGTTTCAATGCCTGAGAGACCACACAATTGTAGCTCCTAGAGGTATTGGGTCAATGCCCAGAGCATACTATGTCATCCATGTTGGCAATTGAGAGATATCAGTTATTCTAACGCTCCTTTTGTTTGGACGGAAAAAAGGGAAAAAACGGAGAACATTTTTTTATAGAAAACTTTCATTTTTTCGGCAAATATTTTTCTATGTCTGGTAATGGTAATGGTGAAAGGAAGGTGGAGGTGGAGGTGGTGGCATGGTGGTGATGGCAATGGTGATCATTGTGGTGGCCATGGTGATGGTCGTGTGGTGGTGGAGGTGAGAAGTGTGGTGGTGGTGTGGTGACATTAGTAAAATTTAAATCAGAAAATGTTTTTTGCTTTTTAAAAATGGAAAACATTTTTCATTGACCATGAAAAATGTTTTCTATTGACTTTCATTTTCTATTGTACTAAACACTAGACAATACAGAAAATAAATTTTTTTTTTCTGCCCAAGCGGAGTATAAACGAAAGAGGAGAAGAAAAAAAATGGTGTTCCTGGTGCATTGTCCCAATACCTGAGAAAATTGTGTAGCTGCTATAGGGGTATTGGATCAATTAAAAATTGGATAAATTTCTTTTGACCATGACCCATTTTCCCCTTAATATTTAAAACTCGATAGGGTTTAATTAGGAATGTCTTTGACGCCGTTAACGGAAAACATTAATTTACATTTATATCATTTAATTACAACTTCATCATCATCTTCCTCATCACTTGCCCATTTTCTTTTACAACTAGTCACCACCTGCTTAACTGCACCACGTCTCGCCACTTTCCTTTACTCGGCCACCACCTCCCCTTGTCCCCACCTGTTTTATTGTCTGCAAGTTCACGAAAGTGAGCTTTTTTTTGTCTATAATTTAATATTTTCATCATACAAACATAATTCGAATTGGTAAAAACAAATAAAAGTAGGTTCATCTCTAAAATGCAATTAATATGTCATGTGTTGTTCATGATATGTTTCCATCAACTACCGTAATGATCTATTTGGTTTATTGGAATATGATGTAATTGTACTCAACTCAGATTGTGGTGCCAAATGAGATAATACTGGTTGAGGATGTAACATTGGTCAAACTCCAATCAAAGTATAACTCCTAGGTGGTGAAATCTAGGGATGACAATATGAACCCGGCACGACGGGGACCCAGACTGCCCCGCCCCGCCCCAATAAATAGGGTTTTCCCCGAAAATTATTCCCCACAAGGTCGGGGCCGATATTAAAAAATACATCCCCGATAATTTTCGGCCTGGGAACGGGGATAGACTCTTGGGCCCTGGCCCCGTCCCGAAATTTCTCCAAAACATCCCCGCTATATACCTGTGTTAGTTTTAGTTGTATTATACATCTAGTGTATTACATATCTCACTGCATGAATCACTCTCTCACTCTCTCTCAACTCTGTCACTCTCACAATTGTCGTGTCCCACCACCACCTCTCTCACTCTCACAGTCGTCGTGTCCCACCACCACCGTTGGCCCCGACCCCCCCTCTCTCTCTCTCTTCTCCTCACCTCGGTTTCTTTCTCTCCCTATTCCTCATGGCCACCACCGCTGCAGAAGGTCCGTCTCTCTCTCACCACCACCAAACCCACTGCCATAGCCACCGTCGATCTCGCCACAGCCACCATCTCTCAGATCTGTACTCAGATCTGTTATCTCTCTCTCTCTCTTTCTCTCTCTCTCTCTAATCTGATTGTTGGTACTCAGATCTGCTTTTTTTTCGGATTTTTTTTTAAAATTTAAATATGTTGTTGATGATGAAAACATATATATATATATATATTTTTTCAAATTGTTTTTTTTTTTAATTTAAATCTGTTGATGATGATGAAAACATATATATTTTTTTTCAGATTAATTTTTTTTTAATTTAAATCTGTTGATGATGATTGTTGATATTTAGATCTGCTATATTGATTTGTTGTTCTTGAACAAATTTAAAATAAAAAAAAATAAAAAAAATAAAAACTCGGGGATTTTTCAGGTCGGGGAAACCCGATCCCCGTTAGGGAACGAGGACGGGGGGTGATGGGTTCCCCCGCCGAGGGATCAGGGATCGGGATAAGGATTTTTTAAACTTCGGGGATCGGGGACGGGGAGTGTGGTCCCCGGCCCCGGCCCGTTGTCATTCCTAGTGAAATCCCAATAAGAAGTTGACTCTTAAGTTGGGTGAGAATGGGGATCTTGAGGAGATTAAACCCAACCCAATTAGGAAAAGAAATTTTAAATAATAAACACTTACAAGGCAAGTAGAGTCCTACATGGAAAAGAAAACCTAGGATGCAAAAAGATAGCCATATATAAGAGCACTGCCTCATGCGTTGAGGTACACATTATGCATGTTCTAGTAATTGATTACACCTTTCTGTATTGTGCTATTGATTATTCTCTAGTTCTAGAGGGAGAGAGAAAGTTTTAGCATTGGAGTGCTCGTTTGAAAAAAAAAGTCGAACAAGGCACTAACAGTTCCTATCTTGCAAATTCATTTAGAAGATCATCTTCATTTCCAGATTTCCAAGAGGGAAAAGATCTTATTGATCGTGTGTGGTCAGTCAAATTTTAGCACACACAATAATGATCATTCCTCAGGCTTTTCTATGGAGTGATCATTCCCTAACAATTTGAGCGATGATTCCATTTCAAATGTTTTTCACTTTTTTTTGTCAATCAAACATTAAAATAAACATTTTGATGGAATGATCATTCATTTCAATCCATTCCAGTAAACCAAAAACTACATAGCAGATTACTACCAAAAGAGATTTATTGTCACAAGTTAAAAGTTGAAGGGAGTTAATTGTTGAATTTTAAACATTAGGGGCAACTAAACAATGAGTCATAATTAAGGACGGTTTGGTGAATATCTTTGAAAATGAGGGGAAAAAAAGGGAAAATGAAAGAAAAAGAAAAATGTTATACCTCAAATTCATAAATTGACGAGCATAATTGGTAAGCTAGAGTAGGTCAGATGATTAGAGCGCGTGGACCACAAGGTTGAAGCTTCTAGCCAATCTTCTAGCCTTCAAATTTTAGGTATGCATTTTTTTTTCCCCTTCAATTGTTACTAGGTACATACAACCTTTATAGTGTGGAAGGAATAAGTACCACAAAAAATTCAAACTCCGCTCTATAGATACACAACTATTAGGCCAAATGCCATTTTTACATGCAATTTGAGTTTTGTAAGCATGTTTTATTAATCATTTTGTTCTTATCTTTCGAACTTCTTAGAAACAAAAATAATGAAAAGTTTACTACACAACTATTAGACTATATACCATTGTTTTATGCAATTTGGGTTTTGCAACTCTCTTTTCCACGCTTTAAAAGGCAACTACAACTACAAATAGATGTGTGGGGACATATTTTTACGGTTGTCCACGTGGCTGAGGTCGTTAGCCGAGGTGCCATGTGGATGGACCAAGTTGTCGAGATATGGTGTAATCATATCGGAGTTCGAGATATTCGGATAGAGGACAGTAATCCTAGATAGTTTCAAGCTCTCTGTTTGGATATAGATGAAACTCTATGTCATGACCCGAACCTGTCCCTAAAGGTTTGGATCATAATCGGCCAGTATTTATGAGATTACCTACGGCCTCAGATAGAATACAAACATATATAATAATAAGGGGGCCTAAAGCGGAAGCAGACAATAAATTTTGTCCAATGAGCTTGAGCATAAATGGCATGAACATAAACTTCTTATATATTAATAACTCACACTCATACAAACATAATAAAATTTCATATATCCAAGATCTTCCATACATCATTGTCATTAATATACAAACACCAAACTGATATATAGAAGCAGTCGAGCTTGACTGACAAAAGGAAACAGAAAATTAAAAAGACAAAAGAAACAAAATCCTTGTTCGTGAGGTGCTCATAACAGACATCACAAAACTCGGTATTCTTTACAAGTTCACTAAGGATGGGGCTGGACATCCCGCTACTCACATACATATAAATATAGAGTAAGTGAAAGCCCAGTGAATAATATCAGAGTAAAAGGGTATGTGAATGAGATCTAGTAATTGACATAAGTATTTCTATATCATGAGCAATACGTAACAGAACAACCTTGGGTCCAACAGAAAGCAGAATGACCTCGGGTCCAATGTATAACAGTAGTATAGAATGGAATTGATCATATCATAATAGAACGACCTCGGGTCCAATCATTTATAGTTGTATAATGACCATTCGGTCTATTCATAATAGATAATCAGACTTATCAGATGTTCAAAACAACCTTGGGTCTATTTTATCAAATGTACAGAATGACCTTGGGTCCAATTCAAACATATAGAACGACCTTAGGTCCATCATATACTTTCATGACACATCAATCACATTTACAGATGTCATATTGATCAGACAAATAGAAACTCATTCACGCTTGCAAAATCACAGTTACGGGAAAGCTTACGACATAAGGACATTCAGAAAATAAAGTAAGTAAGAAAATATCTTTACTATGATATTACTCACAGTGATTCAATTGTTGACTAATCCTTGCGAATGATCCTACACAATATATCAACATTCACACGTTGAATTACATTGCTTAACCGGATTGTTCTTTAACTTATGCAATTCTCTTAGGCTTCATTCTAACCCTTTAATTCATTTAGGATGTTCAATTCATGCCTAAGAATGCTCATAAAGGAATAAGAATGCACATTTGATAAGAATATATCTCTTCAAAATTTGATGAAATAGAACACTTTGCTCAAGCAGACCACTTGGTCTGGAAAAGTACTAAATGGTCTAAATCTAGGCTTGATGTTCGCTCGGGCCAATGTGCAAAATAAAAGGCAGTCGTTCGAGCGGTGACTTAGTCACTCAAGCCAACTACAATTGTCTGCAAAAATACTAGATGCA